CACCTTCTTCAGGTTGGCGCCCTCTCTGATCTGACTCAGGAGCGCCGACTTTCCAGAGGGACCGCCGTCTCCGCCGTTAGCCTCCATGGGCAAAGGAGGAGCAGGTGGAGGAGGACCAGGAGGTGGTGGAGGAGGAGGTGGAGGGGGAGGTGCTCCTCCGCCTGATGGAGCTAAGGAAGGTGGAGGAGGCGGAGGTGGAGGAGGCACAGGAATGGAAGCATGGGCCGGCGGAGGCGGGGGTGGGAGGGACCCTCGGCTTGGAGGTGGCGGCGGCGGCGGAGGAGGAGCTGACATGCAGGGCCGAGATGGAGGTGGAGGAGGAGGGAGCGTGGAGACAGGAGCCCGGGAGGGAGGAGGTGGCGGTGGGGCGCCCCGCCCTCGTGCAGGTGGTGGTGGAGGAGGTGGTGCAGAGCTGTGGTGTGGTGGTGGAGGAGGAGGGCCACCTCTGGACGGAGGAGGTGGAGGAGCTGACGAGAAAAGATAACAGAGTAACGTGAATTTGAAAGGAATATGGAAATGTGTGGTCAAAGAAAAAAAAAATTTCCAAGAAAGCTGAAAGAGTCACAGGTTTTCACAGCACATCAAAATCTAACTTGGATTTAGACATGCAGTTAATTTATTTAACCATAGGGGGCAGCGTTGTTTAATAAATGAAATATTGAAGCAGAGTATTTGGGATTGCTGATATAAATACAGTTTATAACAAGGCTATTATTTTTTATTTTTGACCGATTAATTTAAGATACCTGTAGGATATATTTTTTATTTTTATTTTTAATTCGAACAGTATCTACGATAATTGTAGAACGGCTCTCAGTTGTCAGTTCAATTTGAACAGTATCTACGATAACTGTAGAACGGCTCTCAGTTGTCAGTTCACATGCAAAGTGTTTACAAAAACAGCAAACCACGAGTAGAATTTTCCAAGTTCAAAGTGTGGCTCAGCCTTGTGTAAGACCAAAGAAGAAGTTGCACAGCAGAAAAAAAAAAGTAAAAAATTATTTGCGTGTCAATTTTATCAGTGTCCAAAACACGAAGCAGCAGCAAAGAGAAACGCTGCTGTGCTGTCCAAATCTACATGCATGAGCTGTCAGAGCAGGTCATGCACAGAGACCTACCGCTCAACCTGGGCGGACCTGGGGATCAGAACCAGCAGATTAAGTGGACGTTCTTCCCCCAACAGTTGATAATTTTTTTTTTTTTTAAATCCCGTGTCCTGCGTGGTCTTAACCGCGGGCGTGCCTTACCTTGCCTCCGTAGCTCATTTTTGACAGCTTCTACTCCTCCTTTCTTCTCGATGAAGTCGTAGATGACCTTGGAGGTCTCCTTGTCCTTCAGCTGAGCCTCGGAAATGCCACATATGTCGAAGAGCTGCTTGAGCTCAGGGTCCAGGTTGTTCAGCTGCAGAACAAAGACAGGAAGACAATAAGAGAACGTCGCAGAGGTAATGGGTTTGAAAAAAAAAATTCTATGCTGTATCATTTTGAGATGGTCAAATTTAACTATTACATCATTGACTATGAGCATGTTAACTCTAAAAAACTGACTACAAAAGGAGAGACTCTTTCTTCAGTGTATATTTTACTTTTGGATTAAATGTTTTTTTTAAAAAAAATCTTGTTTTAATCTCAGGTTCAATTACACAAGTGATGTTTAGCGTACGTAAACTGTTGTCAGGTTTTACTTGACGCTGAAGAGGTATGAAATTAGAGCTATGATGCTGCCACCTAGTGGTGTAAAGAAAGTACTTTTTCAATCTTCCATGAAAGACTTGGATTTTAACATCTTCCTCCTTGATCATCATTGAAAGTTTAACCCAACTGATTTATTTTCACTTTTCAAATCCGTAAAAGCATTAGTGGAATTCAAAAATTTAAATCTGGTTTTTAGGTCTTTTCTGAGCTGTGTGAAATCCTGACACATTTAGTCAGGATTCTTCATCAGAACAGTCCACAGATTATACAGATGCAGAGAGACTCAACTCCATTCAGGATCAGCTTCATATTCCAGATTTAATATGTAATCTAAATTTCTGCCAGTGTCTAAAAAAACTTGAGGTTATGTAAAACTGTGCTTACGTCAAAGCCTGTGTTTGGATCCCACCCTACATGTCCGATGTGCCTTGAAAAAACAAATTAAAGAGAATTATGAGGTCAGACGAGGGTTAAAGAGACACGAGGAGTGTTAGATCTTCAAAAACCAAAAAAACAAATTCATGAAAACTCTGCTGAAAAGACCTGACTTCACCCCAGATTAACATCTGTTCACACACATAACTGTCCCTCCCTTGGTTATTAACTGTTCACATATTCCAGAGGATTATAGAGCCAGCGATGACAGCTGGGATTAAAACCTCACACAGATTCAGCAGCGGTGTTAATACAGACAAGAAGAAGAAGAAGACAGAGAAGAACCAGACTCTGAGCCACTGGAGGGAGACTCTGCTATAGGAGATACAATATATAATAATAACCTGCTCTCGTGACCAGTGTCAACTGTATCAACTTTTTTTTGGTCAAAGTCCATGAAGTGTCTTTCTGTGACGACTAATAAAAGCCAGATGGAAAAAACTGACAAAGTCCAAACACTTTGATTCGTCATGTAAACTGGAGGAACAATTGAAGACGAAAGCCAATCAGATCTGGGATATATACACACACGTATATATATACACACATATATACATATACATATAAATTTATATATATATATATATATATAAAAGTTTTAAAGTTAGTAAAATTTAAAAGTTAGTGATTTAAAATAATTTTGATATTTTGTCGATGAGAACTTTAGAGAATTTCAAAACAGTTCCATTTACTGAAAGAAAATTGGCCGTGAGAATGAACTCTACTGACGACATCAGACGACATCACAGTCTTTTGGGACTTAAATGTGAGCTAACGTTTGGTCAACTAGAATAAAACAAAATCACGTCTCCTTGGCCTCGTTGCGTTGGCGATCGTAACTATAAAATGAACCAATCACATCGGTTCTGCGACTCACTGGAAGTTGCTGGGTGTGCCGATGTCGGCCTTGGTCAACCTCTTCTTCTTCCCTTTGCCTCCTTTCTTCTCCCTCTTGGGGAAAGTGGAGTGTACGATGTTGTTCACCTGAGAGTTGTTCTGGTAGCGGTGAACGTTGCTGATCTCCGGGTTCTTGATGTCGACGGTTGCCATGGGCAACGTCGGACCTGGGAGAGTAGAAGAGATGGTGGATAAAATTAGGCAAATTAGCGAACCAAATGTTTTTAATTTGTGTAAAATTCCTGCATAAAGTTGAGTGGAACTTGATGATTTGAGTTTTCGAGGTTCTGTTTCTCAGACACAGCACTGTCTGTTCAGTTACAGAAGACATTACATTTACTGGCTTTCACAGAATCATTGACCAACGAATGCTTAGACATACAGTTTGGATTTAATTACTCATTGACTCATGACAATATGAGAGCAATAGAAGAAATTCAGCCCCAAACCATTACAGAGCCCGGGTGAACGTGTCAAAGGGATCAAGTTTATTTCAACTCTGATGACTCTACAGAGCAATTTGATTTGGACAGAGAAGGGAACAACTCGTCCTGAGGGAGAACCATGCAATGTAGGAAGGACAGGAAGGTTTCACATCCTACTGATTCTGTTCCTTCCCTTACGTCAAAATTAAGTTCCTCTGAGGGAGGAGACAGGAATGTGCAGAACATCATTGAATCTGATGGCTGGGTGTTAATGTTCCACAGAGAATCAGGAAGAAAACCCAGACTTTAAATAGATGTTGGATCTTATGTCTACATCAGGATACTGGAGTTCATCAGGATTTTCCATCCCTGCAGATTTAACAAAAAAAAGATAAACTTCATCCGTGACCAAAAAAAAAAAATCCACTGGAACGGTCTCAGTAGTGACTCCAGTCTTCGGGGGTGAAGCATTCTTCTCCTCTGAATCCCCCAAAAACAAACATCATCTCCAAGGTTTTCCCAAAACACCAGTCTGGGAAAATGAGCCGGTCTGTGCAACAGTCAGCATTTAGTGAATTAACAATTCAGGACATCTGGTGGAGTTGAAACGCCTACTCTCTCCGAGCTGCGAGGGCAGACGTCCAGCAGTGCCATCGGAAGGGCGCACATCCAGCCAACACTTAGCCAGCCAACAGCTCGCCTTCGCTCTTCCTCTCAGATTCCTTCCATTACTTTCTGTCGCCTGTTCTCTCAGCCTCTGGCTGCGGCCTGTATCGTTACAACATCTGACATTTGCGTATGTTACCTCTCCTTTTTCTATGACAGCATGATGCACAACTAGATACTTTCACTTCTATCCCTTTGGCGGTCACCATTTCTCCATCTGAGCCAAGGTTAGCTCCGCCCACTTCATGCACAACACACTAAGGCTTTTTAATCTCAGCCAGTTATTCTGGCTTCAGCGCTGGGTTTTTTACATAACCATTAAAACCCTTGCGTGGCGTAATCCCACGAAT